AAGGAGGTCATTGAAGAGGCAGAGTGACTGTAGCCGGTGCATGTACTCGTTATTAGACGTTTTAGAACAAACTTAGTTATGACGAGCATAGGCTAGAGGAAGAAAGAAATCGGTCGTCGCTCTGGACCTTTTTGTAACATTGCCGTCACCGTTGCCTGCGGAGCTAGGACTTTCCCATCAAGGGAAAATCAGCCATTTTAGAAAGCTTGCTGTCTTGTTGTAGCAATGGCATCGTCTCATTTCAAATGGCATCGTACAGACATGTCTAAGCTAGCATGCAATTATTCTAAAGCAATCAACTATCCATAATTGGTCCCAGTTCTACGGGGTGGGTGGGCGGGAAACTAGGCTAAGCCGTTTGAAAATGAAAGACGTGGGTGGAGGGAAATGACCTCCAGCCCACGTTTTGTACTCCAAAACGGGCGTTTAGCACGGTTCGTCGATGACCATTGCTACATTACAAGCCGCTTCGCTTTCAAAATACAAAATTTTGAAAAGCGTTACAACTTTAAAAAAATATTCATATCTCCAACGAACACATACCCACCCAACCAACAATTGCTGAACTTCACGCGAATAACGTGACAATGGAGCAGCAGCAACAACCGGCTGGTTTGAAAACATCAGGACAAAATTGGAGCTGGCCGATAAAGCCAGTGCTAAGCTATTTAGGTATGGGACATTTTGTTGCCTCGTCTCTACTGTAGTAGCCTTGTTGGTAAAGAAATCTGAAACATTGGAATTGAACCACAAATTGCACTACATGACAGCCCACCCCCAGGCCCCTAGATTCGTTTTGAGCTAGTCTGAAGCCTCAGAGTACACCCCTCTTCCTAGTCTGGTTGTCAGAGTTGACAAAATTTTCTAGTCTGAAAGTTCAGAGTCCACAAACTTTTCAACGCTGATGTTACAGACTAGCACTCAAATTTTACTCTTGTTTGAGTGACAACACAACCTACGAACTAACAATTGTTACACTACACTACATGTCTGCATTAGTCTGTCATAGAATTTACAAGATCACATTCCACTACTGGCTCATCTACATGCTCCTTCCAAGCCCTTGGGGGCTCCTCCCTGTGCCTTGATGCAGGTGCTGTGAACGGCCGGCGCTTCTTGTAAGCGCGCCAAATCTCGACTACTCCTGGGACGTCTAACTCATAGTCTAGCAGTGAGATGCAAAGCAGATCGCTCAGCCTACAATCCTTGATGCTGCCCCTCTGCCACGTCTTGATCAGGTTTTGTCGAGAAAAGCCTCGCTCACACTCGACCGTGCTGAGAGGCAGCACTGCAATCGCCACCCAGAGTCCGACGAGGTTGGGGTACGCCTGCTGCCAATCGGGTGTCCTGAGAATGGCAGTAAGTCCCGTGTGGAACTTACGCTCACTCTTCGGCGCTCTGGCAAGAACTGGACACAGCGTGCGAAGCTCCCTCATGGCCTTCTTCTTGTCAATACCTGCAATGTATAAGAGGCAACGGTTAGTATAAAGGCCGTGAGAGAGGGGGAACCGGGTGGCACTTCAAACTAACCTGGTAGGATCTCGTCGGCTTCATCTGCGCGGAACAACGTGACTAGCGACAAGAACCACTCCATGCACTGTGCTTGCCGCGCGTCCCGGTCCCATTGCGGTTGCCACAAGTCAGGGATAAATAACCTCACTCCAGAAAGAGACTCAAGGTCGCCAAGCTTGGACTGGAGGTTCTCGACGACATGCTCGGCCATGTCGGTGCAGAGCGCCACGCACGCGTCGTGGTGGCCGGGCCCACGATAGTTCGGGTTGGTGCGCTCATGAAGCGTCACCTTGAAGCGGCTGAGACTGCCATCGGACGAAGCTCCCTCGATCACCATTTCTGGTGAACCACGCGGTCCGTGCTTCTCAATGAAGCGGTACAGCCTCTCGGTTTGCCCTCCCCCGAAGTCGTCACCACAGTCGACGTAACGGCTCTCCAAGATCGATGTCGTGCGCACAATCTGCGTGTGCACCTGCGCGTAGTCGAGCTGCAACAAACACATTAAAAAAAAATTAGTACAAAGCGGATGACCAACAAACACATTTAAATTAGTACCAAAACATGCAACACGTAGTAGGCAACTTACCTCCCGCTTCTGGAAAACGGAGGAGAGCACGTTGAGCTGCTCCAGTAGGTCTGCGAGGAACCTGATAAGGAACTGGAACCTGTACGACGTGACAATTTTGTACATGGTCTGGTCCTTCCACTCCGACAGCATCACCATGATCGCTGGAAGGACGTGGACGAACCGGGTGACTGCAGCTCCTCGTGAAAGCCACCGCACGTCATATATGCCTTGGACCTCGAGGTTGGTGGAGGTGAACACCTCCTGCAGCTCCATGAAGCGCTGATGCCACGGTGACGATCGCCCGAGGTACTCTGCGACAGCGCGGATAACATCGTCCACCATGTTGAACGTTGGTATCTCCTCTGCCGCGGCCTTGGCAGCCAACGCCTCCCTGCCAAACAGAAGCACACAAATGGGTTGGTGATTGTTAAACAAACAAAGGGTTAAACAATACAGAGTGTGACACATTAAAACACAAACGCACCTGTGCGCGATGCAGTGAAACGAGACCAGATTGGGGATGAGCATTCGCAGGCGAGCAACCACACCGTTCTGACTCCCCACCATCACAGACGCGCCATCAGTGCTCATTCCCGAGATACGCCGCAGCTCAACGCCGACAGCCCTAAGGTGGGAAACCAACAAACTGCACAAAGAAGCAGCGTCAGCCTTCTCAACACTCAAGTGGGCGATAAACTCCGTGACCACATGTCCCTCGCGGAGAAAGGTGGCAAACACAATCATGTGTTTGCCGCGGCGACGGTCGGTGCTCTCGTCCAGTGTAATCCCGATGAATGGGCTCGTCAGAAGGTGCTCAAGTTGCGTTGTTTGGAGCCACGTCGCAATTGCTTGGGTGAGTTCTCCAAATCCGTACCTACATAAAGAAAACGTAGTCGTTAGTGACAGTCAAACAGAAACCTACAGGCATGCTACAGACACTACTTACGTGTTGTAGTACGTGCCGTAGCCCTCCGCGGGAAACCCGGGCACTTTCTTCTTCGCCAGGTAGTGGACCAACCGGATCCACGAGTCCATGGGCTCGTTGGACTTCCCCATGAAGTACAGCGAGTCCACGAGCGAAGACACCTGCAGCATCTCCAAGTCCTGCGCCTTTGGGTGCATGTCGATGCGCTGTTGGCGCCCGTATTTCTGGAACAAGTCCTCCTGGCGCTGCAGAGCGAACCGGTGCTTCACCATCCCTTCGTGCTTCTTGAAGGACTGTGTCTGCACGTCGGTTGCTCCCTCAGTACGCCGCCCACACTTGCCATTCAGTCCTGAAAATTCCAAGCAAATACTGCACTTGAAAGAAGGAGCACCAGTGGAGGTTTGAGTTAGGACAAGCCAACTGAAATCGGTGGCCCACTTGGATTTGTACCGCGCATGCGCTTCTTCGTATTTCGACTCAGGCGTGTCGGCCTTGGGCTTTGAGCTAGCCTGCGTGGGATTCGAGTTGTCCTGCATGGGAGATGCATCACTGGCAAGAGTCTAAGTGGTCGATGGAGGAGGTGGTGTTGCCCACGCAATGGTGGACTGACGGAACCGCAGGTTTGTCGGTGGCGCGGGACGAGAAGGTGCTTCGACGGACGAATCTTGGCGCACAGCCTGTTGCGCGGCTGTCGCTGGTTCAGTGACGGCCTCGTGCAGAGCAGCAGAATCAGCGCGAATAGAGCTGGGTTGCGACGGTTTCGGTTGCTGTGGATTATGTTTCGGTAGGAGAGACCTAAGGAAGTCTAGACCGGTGAGTGGGTCCGAAGCTGGGAGAACATCAGCATCATCCTCCTCGTCGGGCCCATCATCTACAGCTTCTGAGGCAGCCATTGAGCCTGCCGAGCAGTGGTGCAGCGAGCTCGAAAAAGGGAGGCTGAAACTAGGGCTCCTACACTAGTTTCAGGCCATGCAAACGGAAAGACGTGAGAGAGCCTGGCAAGCACGGTGACGAAGCGGAAGATGAGAGGTCCTCGTATAAGGACCTCTCAACCACCAGGTGGTTACTGCATGCACGGCACCTGGGCGTGAATGGTGGGAAGGTGGGGTGGGGTGGATGTATGTGGTGAAGTGAGAGTGGCAGCGCCCTGCGAGCTATGCGCTGGCAACAATGAAGGGGAGGTGTGGTGGGTGGTCGTGGTGTCAAACGTTGGTGCACCGCGCTGCGAGCTAATTGTTGGCAAGGAATCTTGCCAACACTGCCTGGTGCACAGCCGCGATTGGTTGGAATTGGTGTTGATTACAGCAGTTCTGTACCAACGCGAATGTGCGGTGCCGCGGTGGCGAAATTTCTGGGTTCCCGCCCGTGACTTACGGGGATAAGCCTACACGCCGCCAGGCAGGCCCAAACCCCTGTATAAGCGGTTTCAGAGTGCACCCCCGATACAAGTATGAGGGTCAGCGTACACTACTCAAAGTAGTCTGAAATTTTAGACAAGTCAGGTAAAAAAACTCTGAAAAATCAGACAGGGTCCCTAAAAAAAATCTTGGAGTTCAGACTAGGCTACAAAAAAAAGTCTGAACGGACTCTGAATCAGACTCCGAAGTCTGATATCTAGGGCCCTGCCCACCACCACATGCAATACATCATCAACCCTGAGATGCGAAGAAAGCACAAGCAAAGCAGAAACGTCAATTTTCTTTCCTAACCCCTTCTACGTATCCTTGCAGCCCATCTCTTGCCTTCTATTTCCTACCCACCACGCCTCCCTCACAAAGGTGTTTTCAAAGAGAAACAAGCACACAGACACACACACGCGGAACCACTGCCACAAGCTCGCCACATCACAAGCAACGGGCCTTCTAGAGCCCCCCCTTCCCCATGCATTAGACCGGGTCATTCGGTTGCCATTCGCCGCATCTCCCTGTGTAGAAGGACCAAGCCACCCTGCCGCCCTGCAACCCTCCATTGCACGTCTGCTGGCTGCTTTTCGAATCAAATGCTGGGTGCAGCACTGCTGGCAGCACTGCTGGCAGCGGTGGGCTTGGGGGCTGTGCCCGAGGTGCCCTTTGCTCCCAGCGCATGCGCGCCGGAGTTGAGCTTACCTCCCGCCTGATTCTTCGAAACCGCCTTCCCGCCAGCAGCGCCGGGAGCGGCGGCCGTCTTCAGGGCTGCTGCGCCCGAGTTGCGCTTACGAGCTCCCGCGGGGCCAGTTTTCTTCCCGCCGCGGCGCCCAGCTTTCTTCCCTCCGCGGCGGTGGTGCTTCTTCTTGCCCTTGTTGGGCGGGACTCCGACCATGGAGCCGATCGAGTTGCGCACGTTCCTCCCCGCCTGCCCGACAGCTTTCTTCACGCTGCCGCTGAGGTCGTCCGACGTCTGCTTCAAGTCCGCCGCTGCATCCCCCATCGAGAGAAGCACCCGCGAGTCCTCCAAGTCAACGGAGTCGAAGTCAACCGAGTCAACGGAGTCAATCACGGCATCACTGTCGGCCGCCTCGAGGAGCGCGCGCGGCTCGTTTGCAGCAGCGGGAGCAGCGGGGGACTCGGGTGCTGCGCCCGAGGTGTCCTTAGCTCCCGCCTCCTGCTTCTTAGGAGCCCCCGTCGCGCCAGCAGCGGCAGCAGCGGGCTTCTTGGGGGTTGCGCCGGAGTTGAGCTTACCTCCCGCCCCCTGCTTCTTCGGAACCCCCGCAGCAGACGTCTTGGGGGCTGCCGCGCCCGATTTGCGCTTACGAGCTCCCGCCAGCCCAGTTTTCTTTCCGCCGCGGCGCCCAGTTTTCTTCCCGCCGCGGCGCCCAGTTTTCTTCCCGCCGCGGCGGTGGTGCTTCTTCGTGCCCTTGTTGGGCGGGACTCCGACCATGGAGCCGATCGAGTTGCGCACGTTCCTCCCCGCCTGCCCGACAGCTTTCTTCACGCTACCGCTGAGGTCGTCCGACGTCTGCTTCAAGTCCGCCGCTGCATCCCCCATCGAGAGAAGCACCCGCGAGTCCTCCAAGTCAACGGAGTCAAGGGAGTCAAGCGAGGCATCGCTTTCGGCCTCCAGGAGCGCGCGCTGGTCGTATGCTTCTTCCAGCGCCGGCTCACTCGCGCCGTAGTACCCATCCGGCGGAGGCTGCGCCGCGAAAACCGCGAGGAAGTTTAGAGACGCCACGAGGACGAGCGCGAGCAGAAAGCGATGACGAAGCGCGCCCATGATAGAGTTCGATATGGCAGTCTTCTGAGATGGGAAAGAACCGCTGAGGGGGTTGGTACTGAATTTGTTTAGCTGCTGTTACTAGCGGTGAATGAGTTGTTTCCAACTTCCTCAGCGTTAAATACGCTAGCGTGAGTGCCGAGTGCAGACTTTGCTGGAATATTGCGGCTCGACATCAGAGGAGGCGTTTCAGCCCCATGATGCCTCTCGTAGCGCCTCGTTCGATTGCTGGACCTCATGGTACCGACGAATGCGGCGCTCATCGCTATCGCTGGGGAACTGGCCACCACGTTTGCTAATGCTCTGGTATTTGTGACGCACATCGAAATTATGAAACATGTGAGAGTGCTGGTTGGTTTCCTGGCGCGGTTGGGTTCTGTGAGAGGGGTATTGAAAACCAGCGGGTAAGTGAAGTTTTCCAGCGGTCAGGACTGGTGCAAGGTTTTTGTTGTGGGGATCGAATGTAAGTGGGGCGATGATAATGTACAAGTAACGCGGGGTGTGCGGCCGAGCAATAATTGCACACCTAGTGCGAAAACCTTCGCACTCACCACACATTGTGGTTCGCGTTTGCGATTCATGCACATTTCAACTGTAATGTTTTCAGGATATATAATCATTGCTTTTTCTCTCCATAACCATTTGTTGTCAATTTACGCACAGAAAATGGATGTTAACATGTATTTGGGATGCTAGCATGTGTAAATATATATAAAATAAAATGAACAAAATATATTGAGCCCGTTTGCTGTAGGCCCTTTATTGAAATCACTGAATCACTGAAGCTCGGTTGCTGGACTAGCTTTGCCATCTTCAGGTGCTGGAGTGACAACAAGCATGGCCGCAGCAGCAGTTCCTTCACATGGAAGCTCTTTCAAGTCGAGACAGCTGTTAAAATCAGATCAAATCAAATCATTAACTGTTCTGTACACAGCGAATCAACACAACTGTTTTGAGACACCTCCAAATAAGAAATTAGACACAGCAAAGCAGCAGTGATTCACACAGATTCCCCAAACAGCACAACACGCTTATCAATATTCTAGCTGATCATAAATCACTACATGACAAACTTGAGGCAGCGGGTTTCGTTGTGCAGTCTTTGGCAGCTGATGCAGCAGAAGCGGGCGGCACAGCGGGGGCATGTGTAGGGCGCGTGGCTGCCACACGCAGAGCAGAAGCGGCGCACTGAGGCGGCTGTTGGAGGGCCCACTGCTGCTGTGAGGTAGGAGGGCGTGCCTGGTGGCAGGGTCTCTAGATTCGCCTGTGGGGAGTGAGGAGTGGGCATGGAAGTGAGGGAGAAGCATGGCAGGGGTGAGCACACAAACAATACACAGAGGCAGCAGCCGGGCTCCACTGCTGCTGTGAGGTAAGGAGGGCGTGCCTGGTGGCAGGGCTTCTAGACTCGCCGATGGGGAGAGAGGGTGGTGGGGTGTGGGAAGAAAGAGGTGTGTGTCCGAGGGGTAAGTACAGGGCTTCTAGACTCGACTATGGATGGCGCTTGGGGTATGGAAGGGGTGAGCACAAGCAGCCTCACCTGCCCCAGGTCTTACCCGCCCCAGGTCTTACCCACCATACTTCTTTACCCGCCCTTACCAACCCCACGACTTGCCTCCTCTAGCAGCTCTGCAAGAAAACGTCTTGAACGTTCGCTTGCTCGCTCTGTCATTGCCACGTATAAACCCAACTCTCATCCACTTCCTACCCGTGAAATAAGATTGGCTTTGAGACGTCTCAGAACCCATCTTATTTCATCCGTCAATGTCACCTACCAACCGAATTGTCATCCACTTCCCACCCGACCGATTCGTAATTTTGGAAAATTCTCAGAAAAACCTTGAATAATAAAAAAAAAAAACAAAAAAGTACTCGGGGGGAAAAAAAAAATTTACCAACCAAACTCTCATCCACTTCCTATCCAACCATGTGTTATCCCTTCCTTCCCCCTCCCCTCCCTCCCTCTATCCTACCCACCCCATGCCCTACCTCTTCTAGCAGCTCTGCAAACGTCTTGGGAGTTCGCTTGCTCGCTCTGCTCACCACGGCAGCAGCAGCCAGTCTCGTGCGCCTCTTGCCCGGACGGCTCACTCGCTTGGCTGGTGCGAAGCCTGGTGGGCACTCCAAGGAGCGCGTACGAGGAATGGACCGCACAGGCATGGGAGGGAAGGGAATGACTGCCTCGTTCACCTCTTGCCCGGACGGCTCACTCGCTTGGCTGGTGCGAAGCCTGGTGGGCACTCAAGAGTTGACTCAAGATTTGTCTCAAGAGTTGACTCAAGAGTTGACTCAAGAGTTGACTGAAGGGTCGACTCAAAAGTTGACTCTCAGAGAGCCTGCCTTGTGCACCTCTTGCCTCGGATGGCCAGAGTCAAACGTGGTGGGCAGTTAAAGGAAGACGGGAACGAAAGGGGAAGATAGCAAGGGCGAACGCATCAAACGGGGACGGAAGGAAACACACAAATGAGGAGCACAATAAGGAAGAAGAGCGACAGAATGTCGTTAAACTAGAGCGGGCGTCTAGATAATATGAATAACACGAAACACAAAAGTCAAATCGATTTGCCTCACCTTAACCGGAGCTCTGGTTGTTGCTGATACCTTCCATCATACTAACTATTTAATCGGTAATATCTGGCAAGCACATCAGACAGAGGGTTGTCAGGTTGGCTTCCCGCAACATATCGTGATTCGTGCCCCTAGCAAGCATTCGTGCCCCTAGCAAGCATTCGTGCCCCTAACAAGCATTCGTGCCCCTAGCAAGCATTCGTGCCCCTAGCAAGCATTCTTGCCCCTAGCAAGCATTCGTGCCCCTAGCAAGCATTCGTGCCCCTAGCAAGCATTCGTGCCCCTAGCAAGCATTCGTGCCCCTAGCAAGCATTCGTGCCCCTAGCAAGCATTCGTGCCCCTAGCAAGCATTCGTGCCCCTAGCAAGCATTCGTGCCCCTAGCAAGCATTCGTGCCCCTAGCAAGCATTCGTGCCCCTAGCAAGCATTCGTGCCCCTAGCAAGCATTCGTGCCCCTAGCAAGCATTCGTGCCCCTAGCAAGCATTCGTGCCCCTAGCAAGCATTCGTGCCCCTAGCAAGCATTCGTGCCCCTAGCAAGCATTCGTGCCCCTAGCAAGCATTCGTGCCCCTAGCAAGCATTCGTGCCCCTAGCAAGCATTCGTGCCCCTAGCAAGCATTCGTGCCCCTAGCAAGCATTCGTGCCCCTAGCAAGCATTCGTGCCCCTAGCAAGCATTCGTGCCCCTAGCAAGCATTCGTGCCCCTAGCAAGCATTCGTGCCCCTAGCAAGCATTCGTGCCCCTAGCAAGCATTCGTGCCCCTAGCAAGCATTCGTGCCCCTAGCAAGCATTCGTGCCCCTAGCAAGCATTCGTGCCCCTAGCAAGCATTCGTGCCCCTAGCAAGCATTCGTGCCCCTAGCAAGCATTCGTGCCCCTAGCAAGCATTCGTGCCCCTAGCAAGCATTCGTGCCCCTAGCAAGCATTCGTGCCCCTAGCAAGCATTCGTGCCCCTAGCAAGCATTCGTGCCCCTAGCAAGCATTCGTGCCCCTAGCAAGCATTCGTGCCCCTAGCAAGCATTCGTGCCCCTAGCAAGCATTCTAGCTCCTAGCAAGCATTCGTGCCCCTAGCAAGCATTCGTGCCCCTAGCAAGCATTCGTGCCCCTAGCAAGCATTCGTGCCCCTAGCAAGCATTCGTGCCCCTAGCAAGCATTCGTGCCCCTAGCAAGCATTCGTGCCCCTAGCAAGCATTCGTGCCCCTAGCAAGCATTCGTGCCCCTAGCAAGCATTCGTGCCCCTAGCAAGCATTCGTGCCCCTAGCAAGCATTCGTGCCCCTAGCAAGCATTCGTGCCCCTAGCAAGCATTCGTGCCCCTAGCAAGCATTCGTGCCCCTAGCAAGCATTCGTGCCCCTAGCAAGCATTCGTGCCCCTAGCAAGCATTCGTGCCCCTAGCAAGCATTCGTGCCCCTAGCAAGCATTCGTGCCCCTAGCAAGCATTCGTGCCCCTAGCAAGCAGGAGGGCGTATAGCAAGCATTCGTGCCCCTAGCAAGCATTCGTGCCCCTAGCAAGCATTCGTGCCCCTAGCAAGCATTCGTGCCCCTAGCAAGCATTCGTGCCCCTAGCAAGCATTCGTGCCCCTAGCAAGCATTCGTGCCCCTAGCAAGCATTCGTGCCCCTAGCAAGCATTCGTGCCCCTAGCAAGCATTCGTGCCCCTAGCAAGCATTCGTGCCCCTAGCAAGCATTCGTGCCCCTAGCAAGCATTCGTGCCCCTAGCAAGCATTCGTGCCCCTAGCAAGCATTCGTGCCCCTAGCAAGCATTCGTGCCCCTAGCAAGCATTCGTGCCCCTAGCAAGCATTCGTGCCCCTAGCAAGCATTCGTGCCCCTAGCAAGCATTCGTGCCCCTAGCAAGCATTCGTGCCCCTAGCAAGCATTCGTGCCCCTAGCAAGCATTCGTGCCCCTAGCAAGCATTCGTGCCCCTAGCAAGCATTCGTGCCCCTAGCAAGCATTCGTGCCCCTAGCAAGCATTCGTGCCCCTAGCAAGCATTCGTGCCCCTAGCAAGCATTCGTGCCCCTAGCAAGCATTCGTGCCCCTAGCAAGCATTCGTGCCCCTAGCAAGCATTCGTGCCCCTAGCAAGCATTCGTGCCCCTAGCAAGCATTCGTGCCCCTAGCAAGCATTCGTGCCCCTAGCAAGCATTCGTACCCCTAGCAAGCATTCGTGCCCCCTAGCAAGCATTCGTGCCCCTAGCAAGCATTCGTGCCCCTAGCAAGCATTCGTGCCCCTAGCAAGCATTCGTGCCCCTAGCAAGCATTCGTGCCCCTAGCAAGCATTCGTGCCCCTAGCCTAGCAAGCATTCGTGCCCCTAGCAAGCATTCGTGCCCCTAGCAAGCATTCGTGCCCCTAGCAAGCATTCGTGCCCCTAGCAAGCATTCGTGCCCCTAGCAAGCATTCGTGCCCCTAGCAAGCATTCGTGCCCCTAGCAAGCATTCGTGCCCCTAGCAAGCATTCGTGCCCCTAGCAAGCATTCGTGCCCCTAGCAAGCATTCGTGCCCTAGCAAGCATTCGTGCCCCTAGCAAGCATTCGTGCCCCTAGCAAGCATTCGTGCCCCTAGCAAGCATTCGTGCCCCTAGCAAGCATTCGTGCCCCTAGCAAGCATTCGTGCCCCTAGCAAGCATTCGTGCCCCTAGCAAGCATTCGTGCCCCTAGCAAGCATTCGTGCCCCTAGCAAGCATTCGTGCCCCTAGCAAGCATTCGTGCCCCTAGCAAGCATTCGTGCCCCTAGCAAGCATTCGTGCCCCTAGCAAGCATTCGTGCCCCTAGCAAGCATTCGTGCCCCTAGCAAGCATTCGTGCCCCTAGCAAGCATTCGTGCCCCTAGCAAGCATTCGTGCCCCTAGCAAGCATTCGTGCCCCTAGCAAGCATTCGTGCCCCTAGCAAGCATTCGTGCCCCTAGCAAGCATTCGTGCCCCTAGCAAGCATTCGTGCCCCTAGCAAGCATTCGTGCCCCTAGCAAGCATTCGTGCCCCTAGCAAGCATTCGTGCCCCTAGCAAGCATTCGTGCCCCTAGCAAGCATTCGTGCCCCTAGCAAGCATTCGTGCCCCTAGCAAGCATTCGTGCCCCTAGCAAGCATTCGTGCCCCTAGCAAGCATTCGTGCCCCTAGCAAGCATTCGTGCCCCTAGCAAGCATTCGTGCCCCTAGCAAGCATTCGTGCCCCTAGCAAGCATTCGTGCCCCTAGCAAGCATTCGTGCCCCTAGCAAGCATTCGTGCCCCTAGCAAGCATTCGTGCCCCTAGCAAGCATTCGTGCCCCTAGCAAGCATTCGTGCCCCTAGCAAGCATTCGTGCCCCTAGCAAGCATTCGTGCCCCTAGCAAGCATTCGTGCCCCTAGCAAGCATTCGTGCCCCTAGCAAGCATTCGTGCCCCTAGCAAGCATTCGTGCCCCTAGCAAGCATTCGTGCCCCTAGCAAGCATTCGTGCCCCTAGCAAGCATTCGTGCCCCTAGCAAGCATTCGTGCCCCTAGCAAGCATTCGTGCCCCTAGCAAGCATTCGTGCCCCTAGCAAGCATTCGTGCCCCTAGCAAGCATTCGTGCCCCTAGCAAGCATTCGTGCCCCTAGCAAGCATTCGTGCCCCTAGCAAGCATTCGTACCCCTAGCAAGCATTCGTGCCCCACAAACTATGCGTGCCTTTGTGCATTGTAGCGACCCGTAACACCTCCTGGCATGGAAGCGAGGGAGAAGCATGGTGGGGGTGAGTTGCCACTTGTACCCTAAGCTGTGCTTCCTCGTTATGAGACACGTCCCACACCCCCTTCTTTCCATGCACCGACTGAATCGACCATTCAGCACACCTCCTTTTTCCTCGCTATAAGCATGCCCTTATTGTCCATTACTCGCTATAAGCATACCTTCTTGCACCAGTTCCTCCTCTGCATTGAACACGTCATCATCCTCATCCACAGCAGCATCCACCCCGGTATAGTCACTCTCTAGAGCCTCCAGTCGCGCCGCTGCTGCCTGGGTGCATGCGAGAGGGCGGGGAACAGGTGAGAGAAAGGAAAGGTACACGTTGTACCAGTATCATCTCATCATCCTCATCCACCACAGCAGCATCCACCCCGGTATAATCACTCCAGAGCCTCTAATTGAGCTGCTGCTGCCTGGGTGGGTGGGTGGGTACACTGGAGACAGAGAGAAACTCAACAGGGAGGGATGCATGAAAAAAAAAAGAGGATGTATTCACTCTCAGGAGAATCTAATCGTGCTGCTGCCTCGGAGAAACGCAACAAGGAAGGCAAATGAGATGCCTGTTTGAGAGCGAAGTGAGCGAGAGAGAGAAATGTCAGAGAAAGCGAGTCTCGTCTCTCCGCTTCCCCTCTACTCCATTTGTTCCAGTCTCGCCCCTCACTCCCTGTACCATTTTTGACAAGTCTTATGAGCAATTTTGGAGCAATTTCATGATTCGCCTCCCTTGGTTTCACTTTAAACAGCACGCGCTCAGTCACTCGTTTCCGCAACACAGTCCCACGAATCACTCCCTCGCTCCTTGACCTTCTCAATCACTTAGCACATCAACCACTCACTCGTTTCCTTGCACCTTCATCCAGCATCGGAGCCACCACATCTGCCGCCACCTTGCGTTGCCAGTTTGAATAACAGCCCTTTACTCATTTCCTGTCCCGTACAATCACACACACATCACTCACTCACTCGTTTCCGCGTGCCCTCATCCAGCATCACAGCCACCACATCTGCTGCCACTTTGCGTTGCCTCAGCGACCCTCTCCTCTCCGCCTCCCCTCCATTCCACTTATTCCATTCTCACTCATTTTCCCATGCCGCAGACCTAAAAACCACTCATTCTTTCCCCGTCCCTGGGTGTCATAAAAAACGAAAACCCTTACTCCCTCCCTCACTCCCTCCCTCACTCACTCCCTCACTCACTCACTCGCTTCCGCGTGCCTTCATCCAGCATCACAGCCACCACATCAGCCGCCACCTTGCGTTGCCTCAGCGACCCTCTCCTCTCCGCTGCTGCTGCCACTGCCGTCGCGCCTTTGGACCCGCCTTTGAATGAATCCATTGCGCCTGGCGGAGAGGGTGGAGGAAAGGGGACGGGGGGGGGGGAGAGGAGGGGGGGACGTGAGGAAAGTGGGGGGAAAGTGGGGGGAAAGTGGGGGGAAGGAGGGTGATGGGGGAAAGGGGACGGAGAAGCAGAGGAGGGAAGGGGAACAGGGAGGAGGGAAGGGGAACAGGGGGGAGGGAGAGGGAACAGGGAGGAGGGAAGAGTGAGCGAGCCTTGCATTGCCTCAGCGACCCTCTCCTCTCCGCCGCTGCTGCCACTGCTGCTGTTGCGCCTTTGGACCCGCCTCTAAATGAATCCATTGCGCCTGGCGGAGAGGGTGGAGGAAAGGGGAGGAGGGGGGGGAAGGGGGGTGGGGAGAGGATGGGGGGACGTGAGGAAAGTGGGGGGAAAGCGGGGGGAAGGAGGGTGATGGGGGAAAGGGGACGGAGAAGCAGAGGAGGGGAAGGGGGATGGCGGAGGGGGAGTGAGCCTCAGCGATCCCCTCCTCTCCTCTCCGCCGCTGCTGTGGCGCCTTTGGAGCCGCCTTTGAATGAACCCATTGCAACTGGTGCCTGCACAGAGAAGGAAAGGCAAGGAGAGGATAGGCGGACCTGGCACTGGAATAAGGACGACATGCAAGGCCAGTCAGCGATGGGGAGCGGTGAGGAACGGTGGGGAACGGCGCAGGGAGGGAAAAGCGCAAGGTGATTTTAGGTCGATGTGGAAGAAACGAACGGGTTAAGTAACGCATTGCCTTGGGCATTACAGGTAACGTACCGGCTTTTCGTAGTTCGATCGTTCCAGAGCGGCAGCAGTGCTAACCGCGAGTAGAGTGACAGTGTAGTGACAGTGACAGGGTTACAGGCGTTCCTTGAGTCAATAGCGAGGTGACTACGTAATTCGAAATCCGTACGGGAGGCGTAAAAACGTTGGCACACTACGGATTTTTGCGCTCAGAAGCATCTGTTCTTGAGCATTCGCGCATCGCAACGACGTCGCGTTGAGAAGGTGCCGAACGCGAAAAAGTCAGCACGTGATATTGCTGTGGAATAAGATGTGCCGAACTGTCAGCGCTGATGGTAACAACATCAGCGTGGGGTTTTAACAATCAGCATATGTTGTTGTGACAAGTAGCAGCGCTGATGGTACTTGGGGTCACAACAATATCATCATGTGCTGTGTTTGCTGCAGAGGCTGTGGTCAGCTGCCTGGGTTCGCTAAGTTGCATATGCTGTGGTGACGCACGCATGTGCAGCATAGGCTGCGGGCGACACCTGTTACCGGTTGACGAAATCAACATGTCTGCGCGCGAAACTGACGAATTCTGTGCAGATGGTCAGCATTGTTCGCTTCTTGACAGCTTCAAGGTTGGCTTGGGTTGAAGGTGGTACTGTAGATTAAATCTGCATTCCAATTGCGTTTTTGGAGGTGTGAGCGTGCATTCAAGGTTGGCGATCGTGCACTCACTCATTCACGAACATCGCAAGCCCAATGGTTGGGTTTCGCTGCGAAGGCTGACACCATTGCAAAAGTGTTGTGACTTTATTCGATGGTAGCATTTTCCACACAGATCATCATGAAAGGTCATATATCAAAAGAATTATTACAGCCCACCAAATAAAAAAATAATGAACAAATAGTATCAGCCCACCGGAAAAAGGGAAAATAAACAGCAACCAGTGGACTAAAAGCTAGCAAGAAAGAAAGAAGCCCACCACACTATACACACAACGGGATAACCAAACAAATGCCGGTGAAAACATTCAGGCCAACATGAGAGACTACAACATATCAATCAGCCCATCAGAGAGAGCACACCAGGGCATTCGCCCAAGACGGACAAGCACACCACACCAGAGCAGCCACAGCACCACACAATCAGCACCATACCATACATTTCAGCGTATCACACCAGACATTCCCTCAACAAACGCAGCCCACCATACAATACACCCAGCAGCACGTCGCCGCATTATGGAAACCGAGACACGGGCATGACGTACTGTGCACGGTCAAAAGCAGTGTACGCGCAGTCAACCGCGTGCACACGGCTCGCCTCGTACGACCTCGGAGTACTATCCAGGAACCCCTCTCCCTCAGCGCCATCCGTGATAATTGGGTGGTTAAGCGTCGCAATAAGCCGTTGGAAATCCGCCGCACGTTGGGCATGGTCCTCGCGGTAGGTCTGCCCGAGCACGCCGTGAATATCGTCCGTGTGCTCCAACTCCGCGATCCCGACATTCAGATGCACCTCCGCGTCTGACGGCGTCTGCAGCTTGGGGTGTGCGACGCGGAGCCTCAAATCGAGCGCCACGAGACCGTCGATGGTTAGAAGGTAGTAATCCATGGCGATCGGCCCCTACATTTCGTGCGCGTGAAATTCGATCGCGAGTCTACCAGTGCTGGTAACCACGTCGCCGAGCTACATGCGGGGGATCATCTGTCAGATTTATATGACATAGTTGCTGTAGGCTATAGTGGGGTAGCACATATGGGGTACAGGGTTTCTAGGGTTGTATTTGTACCCAGTCTTTCCTTAGTCATTCTCATTCCTGCTTACTCATTTCACATGGTATAGAGCGGGTTCCCTGTGGAACTCTGCCTAGGGCCCACCGAAGCGCGCCCCGAGGCGCGCTCAACTTTTTTTTTCCGCTCTCGAGCGACCCTCCGTGTCGCCTCCCTCCCACACGCGGCCCAGCCGCCCGCTAAGTCGCGGCCCCAGCCGCCCGCTACGATCGCGGCCCCAGCCGCCTGCTCGACGCGCCCCCCAGCCGCCTGCTCGACGCGGCCCCCAGCCGCCTGCTCGACGCGGCCCTGCCGCCCGCTACGCCGCGGCCGCCGCCCACTACGATCGCGGCCCCGGCCGCCTGCTACGACCGCGGCCCCAGCCGCCTGTTCGACCGCGGCCCCGCCGCCCGCTCCTGTCGCGGCCCCGGCTGCCTGCTCGCACGGCCTCGCCGCCCGCTACTACCGCGGCCCCGGCCGCCTGCTCGACCGCGGCCCCCCAGCCGCCTGTTCGACCGCGGCCCCGCTGCCCGCTACTGTCGCGGCCCCGGCCGCCTGCTAGCGCGGCCTCGCCGCCCTCTACTACCGCGGCCCCGGCCGCCTGCTTGCACGGCCCCGCCGCCTGCTACGACCGCGGCGCCAGCCGCCTGTTCGACCGCGGCCCCGCCGCCTACTACCGTAGCGGCCCCGGCCGTCTTCTCGCGCGGCCCCGCCGCCCACCTACTACCGCGGCCCCAGCCGCCTGCTCGCACGGCCCCGCCGCCTGCTACGACCGCGGCCTCCCAGCCCACTAGGCTGCGGCCGCCGCCTGCTCAACCGCGGCTTCGCCGCCCACTACGCATCGGCCCCGCCGTCCACCTGTAGCGACTGTGCGGGCGGACCTCTGTGTCAGAATCCCAACCACTAGACCATTGGGATAAAAGGGCTTGTTTCAGTAGCGGGTTAGTGCGCCCATAACCCCCCAGGCGAACGCGCCTGTAACCCTCTCCAGGATCAATCGGGCATCCACAGTGCAGATCTACTGACACCCCCCCACACTAGGAGGCCCAGGACTAAGCACAGCGGCAACGGCCTTCATGTGCATACACCGGGAATCGAACCCGAGACCGCTCTGATACCATGTCAGAATCCCAACCACTAGACCATTGGGATAAAAGGGCTTGTTTCAGTAGCGGGTTAGTGCGCCCATAACCCCCCAGGCGAACGCGCCTGTAACCCTCTCCAGGATCAATCGGGCATCCACAGTGCAGATCTACTGACACTCTGAGCAGCTGTGCCGCCGAGCCGCCCGGGAGCCGAGCCGCCCTGCAGCCGAGCCGCCCGGGAGCCGAGCCGCCCTGCACCCGAGCCGCCCTGTCGCCGAGCCGCCCGGGAGCCGAGCCGCCCTGCCCCCGAGCTGCCCTGCCGCCGAGCCGCCCGGGAGCCGAGCCGCTGTGCACCCGAGCCGCCCGGTCGCCGAGCTGCCTTTCTGTCGAGCTACGCGACCTGCCCTGCCTGGTGAGCACAGTCCCACTGTCACTGCGTGCTCTCCCCCCTACTGCTTGCACTGCTTCACAGTCGTCGCCATGGCTACCCCTAGTGTCCTAGCTTTTGACGCTGAGGGTCGCGCCATTGATTTTGAGGTCTGGCTAGACGACCTGCAGCTGTTCTTACAGTGCGACAAAGCTGACGACCTTTCTCTCTTTGACCTCACCTCTGGCGCCTCTCCTGCTCCTGCTACTGATGCTGATCCCGCTGTCCGCTCTAAGTGGGCCACCCGCGATGCTGCTGCACGTCTTGCTGTGCGTCGCCACCTCCCTACCTCTGAGCGTGCGCACTTCAGTCAGTACAAGAGTGCTCAGACCTTGTACGACGCTGTAGTTGCGCGCTACTCCTCCCCTGCCACTGCTGCACTGAGCCGTCTCATGCTTCCCTACCTCTTTCCTGACCTCTCTGCCTTTCCCACTGTCGCTGACCTCATTACGCATCTCCGCACTAGTGACACTCGCTACCGCGCCGCCCTTCCTGCTGAGTTCTGCGCTAAGAACCCCCCCCCCATGTACATCGCTCTCTACTACGTAGTCGCGCGCCTCCCTGACTCCCTTCGAGTCGTCAGGGACCACTTTCTCGCAGTCTGCCCCACCACGCTCACCGTCGACCTCCTCGAGAAGGCCCTCCTCGCAGCGGAGAAGAGCATAGTCGCTGTAGGTGCTTCTCGTGGTGACCCTCGCACCCCCATCTTTGAGGGGTGCTCTCCTTCCCCCTTGCTACCCTCTGTTGCCTCTGCTGCTGCTGCCGACCTGCTTGGTCTTGAGTCGGTCGGCGCGGCGTCTGCCCCTAGTGGGAGACGTCGCTCCAGCAAGGGCAAGGGGGGCAAGGGCGCGGGTGGGGCTGGAGGGGGCGGTGGCGGTGGCGGCAGTGGCGGCGGAGGGAGTGGGGGTGGCGGCGGGACTAGTGGCGGGGGTGGTGGTGGTGGTGGCAGCAGCGGCGGAGACAGTAGTGGTGGTGCCATCGGTGGTGGTGGAGGCAGCGGCGGAGGTGGAGGCGGCGGAGGTGGAGGCGGTGGAGGCGGCGGCGGAGGAGGCAGTGGTGGTGGAGGGGGTGGAGCTGGTCGGGGTGGTACCCAGCAGCGTAGCGGCAGTGGTGGTGGCCAGCGCTCGCAGCGGCAGCAGCAGCAGCAGCGCTCTCGGGACATCCCTTCGCCTCAGCAGCTTCGTGAGTGGTACGCTGGGCGTCAGAGGGGTGGGGGTACTGGT